GCTCCGCACAGTCTTTTTTGTGTGTGCGTGAAGGAACGACGTGGCTCAAGGCTTTTTTTTGCCCAAGCAGGTTCAAAGTTCGTCGGATGAAGGCAAACGCTCGCGAGCGCAACCGCATGCACGGCCTGAACGACGCCTTGGAGAGTCTGCGCAAGGTGGTGCCCTGCTACTCCAAGACCCAAAAACTCTCCAAGATCGAGACCCTGCGCCTGGCCAAGAACTACATCTGGACCCTCAGCGAGATCCTGCGCTCCGGGAAAGCCCCGGACCTCATCGCCTTCGTGCAGGCGCTCTGCAAAGGTACGCGCACACTCCGCTCGCGTCACCCGGACACGAGAAGCGGACGGAGGGCGCTCCCGCCGCGGACGCGCCGTCTGCTGCTCGTCGCCGGTGCGGACGGGCGACGTGAAGTCAGTCATTGGCTGTCGCCTTCAGGTCTGTCCCAGCCCACCACCAACCTGGTGGCGGGCTGCCTGCAGCTGAACCCTCGCACCTTCCTCCCCGAGCAGTCGGCCGAGCTCCCGGGCCAGCCGCCGCCCCCGGGCGGCGCCCCCTACGCGGCCCGCTTCTCCTACCAGACGGCGGGCCTGCCCAGCCCGCCCTACGGCGCCATGGACCCCTCGCACATCTTCCAGCAGGTCAAGGCTCCGGCCTACGGCGCCCCGGAGGCGTACTTGGACGGGGTCCTGGTGACGGACAGCCCCCCCTTCGACCCGCCCCTCAGCCCGCCCCTCAGCGTCAACGGCAACTTCTCGTCCTTCAAGCACGAAGCGGCGGTGGCGGCGGCGGCGGCGGCGGACTACGACAAGAGCTACTCCTTCGGCCCGCACTACGGCGTGGGCGGCGGCGGCGTCTACCCGCAGGTGGACAACCTGCTGGGCTTCGACGGACACTCGCATCACGAGCGGCTGATGAACGCGCAGCTCAACGCCATCTTCCACGAGTCGTGAGCGGGTCCTCGCCGCTTCCCGGCGCCAACAAGCCAAACTATGCAAGTTGAATCTCAAAGCCCCCCATAAAAAATCTGATTTGGAACGTCTGTCTCGTTGCTCTTTGGGACGCGGCCCCCCCAGCGTGTCAGCTCTTCACTTTCGGCATCTTTGTCCAGGCTCCTTCGGCGATGACAAAGGGACTTTTTCCCGCGTGCTCCAAATCGTTTTCTTCAATTCCGCCACGATTTCGGCCATTTTAAACATTTCCATCGCTTGATTGGCAAAGAGGACATGAATTCAAATTGACGAAGCTCAATAGTTGATGATCCGGCACCCGCTTTCAAGTCGCCGCGCCCATTCGTCAAGCGTGAAACGAAAGAATTCCGGCGTTTAGCCGTCGGAGTACGACGGAAAAGGAACCCTTTGGGGGCGATTGACATGGGGCCGCCCCCACCCCGACTTTCTCCGCCGACGATTTGCTCCGCTGGGCCGGCCGAAGTTCCACATCCAAAGAGCCACTGTCAAATGCCAAAGGGAAAGCTGAGCTGCAGTCTTAGCGCAAATTAGCACGAGCGACGCCGGCTCGGTCATCAAGTGGTCCGTGTTCCGGTTATGTTTCGGCCACGTGCCGCCCATGAATGGGGGGGAATTTGGTGACTCGGGTATGATGCGAGTCAATCTCTTTGGGTCCTTCCATCGAGTGAGATCGTAACCTTGGCTTTTGCCGAAGGACCCTGGGCTGGTCGCTCGTGTTTGGGCTCCTCTCTGAAGCGAGCGGCTCGTTGCCACCATCGATCACATTTTCAGTGACGGTGCAAAAAAAAAAAAAAAAAACCCTGGGCTGGTCGCTCGTGTTTGGGCCCTCCTCTGAGGGGGGCGCCTCGTTGCCACCATCGACAACATTTTCGGGGACGGTGAAAAAAAAAAAAAAAAAGGGCAGATGTCTTCTTTAAAACATGCACTCGCTGGATTAAAGACAAAGAAGAATCCAAATCTACGCACCTTCGGGCATACTCGCTCCAAAATTGTGACTCTGATTCAAGCTTTTATAGAATAGACTGCTTTTGTCGAGTACACTCCATACATGGGTGTGTGTGTGTGCACATTGGGTGAGTGAGCGAGCGTGTGTGCATGTGTGTATGTGTTATCCGATGCATAAACAAGCTCCTTTTCAACAATTAAAATGTTGTCTGCAGAATGACACTCTGGGCCCGTCTGTCACAAGAACACACACCACCATCCTTCAAGTGAGCCCTTCGTTTTCAGCGCAGCTCGTGCTGTGACATCATTAGCTTGGAGCCTAGGTGGCAATTTAGCTTTTAGCTCAGCCGACTGATCAATTTGCAAGCGTTTGATCCAGTTAGCGGGTGTGACCGAGAAGTTTGCTTAGTTTTGATGGCTCGGACAACCGTGATGCAGACAAACGAGCACTTGGAGAAAATGTGCATTCAGAGTTGTGTCATTGTCGTCCGAAGAGACAGAACACAACATGAAAAACACCACATCGAAATCAACGCATTCATGTTAGGCGAGCTTCGTGAGTGGCAACTTAAGATGGCTGCCGGTGGCTTCACTTCTCACGACGGCTCGAGCAATCCGTAGTGTCGTTGATGCCTCGGAGTGTTAGTGTTCGCGTTGAGATGATGGGCGGGGGAGATGAGTCTTTCGTGAGCTCAACAACACAACAAGACACGTTTTGTTGTTGAAACACCCCACTCAACGTCGATCGATTTTGAGTGGCACTTTAAAACGGCAAATAAAGCGATGGACCCCCCCCCCCAACACACACACACACACACACACACACACACACACACACACACACACACACACACACAAAACTAGTATGGCGATAAAAGTTTTTTAAAAATGTAATGATAAAAGGGCTAGTAATACTAAGGATGTTTCAGAACATTTTTAGATTTGATGAAAAAGTTCATTCGGAGCTCATTTGAAATTCAAAGAGTGCGTGTCCTTGTCTGGCCGGCCGTGCGCGCTCCCGCGACCAGCGGCGTGCTCGTGCTTCCTTCCACGTGGGGGCGAGCCGCGTCGTCTCCATAACGACCAGACCGCGGAAGTGCCCGGATCAGCTTTGGAGCGCGAAGCGAGCGAGGCGGGACGTTTTCTTGTTGGGTGCTTTCGTTCGCCTGTTAAATTGTCCGTCGAAATGTCGACGCGCGAGGAGGACCGAGAGGAGAAAGAGCAGAAGACGGAGGAGGAGAAGCTCAGCGGGAGCAAGAAGAGGAACAAGAAGAAGAAGGAGGAGGAGAGGGAGAAAGCCGAGGAGGAGTACAAGCCGGAAGTGGAGCGCAGGTGAGTGATTGAGTGACGACGGGGAGGAAGGTTGGTGACGTCACGGCCCGCCAACTGGACGTCCCTCAACCACCATTTTGTTGCCGAGACAATGTTGATTTTTGAAACGAAGGCTGCGAGGTCGCCTGCATAGGTGCCACCCTGTAAACACGAAGCCGCTGAAATATAAAATCAAATGTTAACTCACTTTCCGGACTGCATTTAAGCGGCACATTTTCTGTCACTGACCTGAACAACTTTGAAACATTTCTAAATTGGAACCTGCAAAGTAAGTGCATTGTCCACATGTTCAGTTCGAGCTTTTGGTCATCCAGAAAGAGAGAAGGTACAAATTGTTGTCGAGTGTCTCTCCGCCTCGGCAAAGAGTCGTATTCGTTGGGTAAGATTTGTTAGTCAATGACCACAGTTGGATGTCTTGAATCAAATGCTCCCGCATATCTGGATGATGAAGTGCTTCTCTGAAGTCCAAAGCCGTTCAGAGCCCAACAACAGTTTGTAGTTCTATTTCGTTCATGCGAATCCTAACGAAATAGAACAACAAAATAAAACAAAACAAAATCAAAAACAATCAAGTCGTCAAAAAAGTTGACCTGATGATTTTGTTGGGGATGCGGCCTATTTTGGGTGAGCCAGTAAGTCTGAACTCATGCTCGACCCATCCAGCAATATTTGGTGGGTTAGCTAACCCCTACTGTGTGGATACTACAAAATACGCATCCAGATCCATTTTTCTCATGTTTGAAGTCGTTCTAAATGACCTTTTCAGTTTTAAAGTAGAGGTGATGATGTCAGAGACCTTTTAGGAATGGTGGCATCCGTTTTAGGAATAACCAGACTGAAGTCGGGCTTCACCTTGTGCCGAGTTGAATCATTGAGTCACCTGTCAATTCACAGGGAAATTTGATTAAATAAACAAGTCATTAATTAAATCCATGACTAGATCTCAAAAGAGGGCATTCTTTCAAATTGTAAAAGGCACAAAAAAAACTTGATTACGATTCAGCTACCGATTTGGTCCGTCACGTCCACCGGAAAGCGGAGACAAGATCATTGAATGTCATACTTGATGTTGACAAAACTCTCATTGTTGACATGTACCCTTTTTTTGGGAACGCGTTTGTGGCAGCGAGCGCGTGCTGCTGCGCGGCATCTTCAAAGTGGGCAAGAGGAGCCACGACGTCCTGCTGACCGCCACCCGCCTGACCTGGAGCCCCATCCTGCCCGAGAGCCCCGCAGGTCAGGCGCCGCACCGACATCTGCGCGGAATGTGACAGCAGATGCTAGTTGGGATGTTGCGTCAACAAATCGTCAGTGCCAAATTGTCGTATTCTCTTTTGATTTCTGTTGAACAACACGTCAGGCTTTCGTTGGAATTGGCTGAGTACAGGGGTGGGCAATCCCAGTCCTGGAGGGCCGCTATCCTGCATGTTTTCCATCTGTCCCTGTTGCAACACACCTGATTCAATTGTTCAGGCCTCGACAGAGCTTGCTGATGATCTGATCATTTGAATCAGGTGTGTTGGAGAAGGGACAGATGGAAAACATGCAGGATAGCGGCCCTCCAGGACTAGGATTGCCCACCCCTGGCTTAGTAGTTAGCATTTAGCCAAGTTAATAACGCAACTGATGAGTGTAGTTAATTAACTTGGAGCAATGGTAGACGCGCGCCTTCTTCGATTGCAGGAGAAGGACTGTCGGAATTTGATCGGCGAGGAGATTGAGGGCAAAGTGTGGCAAAACAAAGGCATGGCAAGAAGCTGAGGTAGCATTAGCATGTTTGTTAAACATCCTTTCCTGCTGCTCAAACAAAATGCCCGCACAATCAATCAATCAACCATTCAATCAATCAATTGTTTTGATACCAATTGGTCGGACCCAATTGGTACCATGCAGGGGAAAACGGTAGTAACTGGTGTTTTTGTTTTGTTTTCATGATGCTGGATTGACACAAATCGATGTGTATTTACGTATCGATTTGTGTGTGTGTGTGTGTGTGTGTGTGTGTGTGTGTGTGTGTGTGTGTGTCTGAGTTTGACAATCTGTTTTGCTGTACTCCATCCAAGGGTAATATGTCATTAAGTGTGTGTGTGTGTGTGTGTGTGTGTGTGTGTGTGTGTCTGAGTTTGACAATCTGTTTTGCTGTACTCCATCCAAGGGTAATATGTCATTAAGTGTGTGTGTGTGTGTGTGTGTGTGTGTGCGTGTGCGCACGCGTATCTGTGCGAGTGTGTTAATCTGCTCACACTGAGAGAATCTTATAACCCCCCACGGGCCTAACCAACTGCTCGCTAGTACAGCCAACACACACACACACACACACACACACACACACACACACACACACACACACACACACACACACGCACACTGATGCCACAGAAATGGATCAGCTGTTGTTTATGAGAAGTTCTTCCTGTGGATCTGCTCAAGGATGTGCGACATGTTGTTTACCTGCAGGGTGCTTCGAGAAATGTTTTCCTTTTTGTCGTGGTTCAAATCGATTGAAGGGTTACAGTTAGCTTTCGCGAGCTAGGAATGGGTGTTCTTTTTTTTCCCAAGCTTTTTGTCTGAGTGATTGGCATCGTGATTGGCATTCGGCAATCTTGGCGGTGTCGTTGAAGAGTAGCCAAAGTTAGCATTTAGCCAAGTTAGCAGAGTCATTTAGGATACAGTCAGTTCGCTAGCGGGACCGTAGTTAGCCATTGGGCGTAGTTCTCTTGAAATGCATCGACGCGAGTGGAAAGGTCGTGAGCAGAATTGAGCCAAGTTCAGAGCGTGATTGATGAGTGTCGCTCGCTTTTTGCTAAGGCAGCGCTGTCCCCTCATGGGGATAGTTTAGCTTTTATCGAAACTATCGGCAACGTAGTTAACAGTGAGCAAAATGGTGGATCTGAGTTGGAAGCGTAGTCTTAGCATTTTTCCCATTTGGTGTCATGACTCTTAGCCGTGTCACATTTCATCATCCACTGCACGCATACTCAGTGGCGACTTCATTCGGTACACCGTTCAATACAAAACAAAAGTACGAATGTTATCAATTTAGCATGATGTTGATTATCGCGCAGTGTGTCGCAGTGACAACTGTTCCTTATATTTGTGCGTGTGTTGGCTCAGTGGGTCAGCGGGGACAAGATGGGAGATTCTGGTCCATCTGGACCCAGTGACATGCTACAGGCGGGCGAGCGCGTGCGCGCTGTCACTTCGGATCTCATTCACGGTCTTGTGCAATCTGTGCGTCTCAGTGTGATCATTTTAATTGCGCTTGACTGGGCACAACATGGCGACATGACATGTTTGTTGATTTTTGGATTTGAAACAAAAAAAAAAAGGCAATCACACGATCCTGTTTCCATTGAGATGAGACGAATCCCACACAGGTCACCAAGGGCCAAAAACATACAAATGGACCTTGGACACGGCACAGTTTTCGCCGACTCATACCGCACAAACTGCACCCGTGCTTTAGCTCAACACAACATGTCAACGTCACGAAGCAGGATGGAAAAAGGAGATAGGCGGCCTGAAGTTGTCTTTCCAAATGACTTGAGAATGAATCCCTTCAATGGGCGATAGCAACGCAAGGCTCGAAGCGAGGCGTTTCGCATCGCTGTTACCGTATCAAAGCCGAGACTCAAACGGGCCGCCGTCAGAAGCAGTCATGCCGTTGTATATTACAAAACAATAAAAGACATCGGGATTTAGACAGCACTTAAAAAACAAACAATTGTTCAGTCATCATATTTTGATCGAGCCTTGCTATGCATCCAGGCTCTGAGGGAGCAAAGCAGATTTTTTTGGATGGTGTGTGTTCATGTGTTTCTTTACACACACGCACGCACACACACTCACACACACGGAGTATCCGGTTTCATCTGTCCAGTGCTGTGAGCATTGAACCATGTTAGCAGTGCGATTGATGTTTAGCATTTAGCCACATTAGCCTTTGTTGACGGTACTGTTGCGTGCGCAGGTGAGGCGTGCACATCGCCGCCCGGTGTGCTGATGCTGCGTGACGTTCTGGCAGTGAAGGTGAAGCGGCGGCGGGCGGTGGGGCAGCGTTCCGGTGGCCCTGTGCTGGGCGTGGCTTTGTTCTACTGCAAGCGAAGGGGCCGCAGATTGGAGGAGGACACGCTGCACCTTCACAACGCGTCCTCGGAACACACGCACACCTGGTACAACAGCTTGAAGGAGGTCCTCGCAGGTAAAGCACAATATTGTCTTTGGATGTACGTTGGTGCCTCGAGATATGAATGAGCCGTCGTACGGCGGCCTGCCTGTATTTTTTTTTTTTGGGTTGGTTTTTTTGGGTGATACGAGCTCTGCATGGTGGCAGTGAAATCAACTCACCGCACTTTTTATCAAGCGGCAGTCTAAAAATCGTGAACAATTCATCAAAGAAGCAGCTTCAAGTTGTTTCATGCCACTCCCATCTGAAGTTTACTCAGAAACTAAAAGGAAAACAAAGAGAATTACTGAGTACTTAGCCACGAGCAAGACTTTGGGATAGTAGCTGCTCGTACATGGAATTAGCGTGCTACGCGTTTGAGTCGTCTTTAGCTGAGATGCGCAATGCAAAATCAGTTCCGCCAGTTCCATTTGGTCGCAATGACATCAGTACACAGACGAGCTAATCTGCTAATCTCACTCAAGGCACGTATGACACACACGCACACACACACACACACACACACACACACACACACACACACACACACACACACACACACACACACAGACTCCGTCATCATGTTGAATCCTGTCTGAGAGTGGGATGAGCTAAAATGACCTTTGAAGATGGACCGTCCAGACAAGAAGTGAGTTAGCGAGCTAAGCTAACCCTCGCGTCAGCCATGGCGTCAAGGAGAAAAATGCGGCCGGCGTCTGGAGGGCTTATGTTGTGTCGCGTCCATTCGGGCCACGTCGCCGCTGTCCAGCCGCCGCCGCCGCCGCCTGAAAAGCGGTCGGGCCTTTTGTCTCGCCGTTCGCCATTCAGCGGCCTCGTCCCGCAGCTGCACCGCCGCCGCCGCAAAAAAAAAAAAAAAAAACTTTCAGCCTGAAAAATGAGCTTAAGGCGCATTAAGCGTAACGTGCGCCGACATTGACGGCTGCCACAATGGCCTTGACGCGCAACACTGCGACCATGCGAGCTGACACGTGACCTGCTGCCATTCATGTGGCCAAGCAGCGATGATGGACAGCCAGCTGACACACATACACACAGATGAGTGTCCAAAAACCAAAGTGCCAAAAACGATGGCGTGATCATGGCGAAAGCACCTCAATGTGTCATTGGTCGGGGCGGAACGTTTGGCCCAAAGTCCTGCTTTGGTGCGGACGTCAGCACGCGTCATCCAGCTGGTCACGGCGGTGCCCGGCGGACTCAGGAAGAGAGCTCTTGGGCAACCGTCACTTCCCAAAACAAAGCCAGGTTGGCCTCCGAGGTGACGGCTGCGCTCTGGGCGAGCTGGACTTGTTTGTGTGAGCGGGCGAGGGAGTGAAATCAAAGTTGTTTACGTGGCGGGCGGCTCTGTGAGCCCGCAGCCCAGGATTGTTTCCCATGGCAACGCTGCGTTGTCAGAGCGACTGGCCGCCCGCCACGCTTCGTGCGGGAAACCTGATCCTCGTGTGTGTGTGTGTGTGTGTGTGTGTGTGTGTGTGTGTGTGTGTGTGTGTGTGTGTGTGTGTGTGTGTGTCCTTCACTCTCTTGTCATCTTCATCAGCAGCCTCTGACGCAAAATGGCTTTCCCCAAGCCGAGTCTCCAAAATGGCCGCTCTTGGTCGATCAAAGGTTGCCACGCGTACGCCACGAAAGTGGAGCATATCTGGAAAGTTCTCATCCTTTTTTTTGTTTATTGGCCTCATTCGTCGCCGGCCCAAATGTCAAGAAAGAGGGGGGCGAAATACAAGCAACCTGATGAAATGCAACCGGTGGTGAAAAGGCAGAATATCGGAGGAGAAAAAGACATTTGAAGCCAAGGATTGAATGCCGTTGGCGTTCATCCGAATGCTCCCAATCTTTGGCTTCATTTTTCCAGATACAAATGATTGCTTTGACATTTGTTTGACATTGTAAAAGCGGGCAGACATTGCATGAATCATGACCCTCAAGTAACCGCTTGGAAAAAAAAATTCCTCAACTGTTTGCCCAAACACTTTGAACAGAAATGAACTCGACAATGCGACCGATGCGCAATTGCTTTCTCGACCGACTTGAGCGTGTTTGAAAAAGTGGCCGCATTTCATCCTTCCGTTTTCAGGCACGCGGGCCTCCAACCCAAAAGCTCGGGCGCCCTCGATCGAGTTCGTGCGTACGTGCGTGAAAGGCCATTAACGGGGGGCGGGGTCATGGCCTTTTGGGAGAAGATTATAGCACGGATGATGGAGCTCAGAGTGTGTGTGTGTGTGTGTGTATTGATCAGCACTACTCTTCTGGGATCTGTAATGCGGCCTCCAAATCGGCCTCATGATGAGTCACTGGGGCGCACACGCACACTGTAACCTTTCCAAGGCCGAGCTGAGGACCAGCTCAATCATCATGCCGACCTATTGCTCGCGTCTTCACAACCTGCAAGTTGCCCCCCCCCACCCCCCGCCCCAAAGTTTCTACAGAGTCACATTTAATGTCACGTCCGGGATATGCTGAGGCTTCCCTGAAGTGTGTGTGTGTGTGTGTGTGTGTGTGTGTGCGTGTGCGCGCGCGCTGCAGGTTTGAGCGGTCGGCCGAGGCGCATCAAGGTGTTCATCAACCCCAGCAGCCACAAGAAGGAGGCGGTTCACGTGTACCGAGAGCACGTGGCGCCCCTCTTCAAGATGGCCGACGTGCACACGGACATCACCGGTCAGTGGGCGCCTGCGCGGACGTGCGGGTGTGCGCACGGGGGTGGGGTGCGCAGGTCGGCGTTCATGGGGGGCCTCCACTCGCTGGGTCACCCGATCCGGGAGGCGGAGCACGGAGGCCATCTGCTGCCAGCGAGGCTCCTCCCGCCGCCTCTTTCCTTTCCTTGTCTCCTTGCTGCCCCCCCCCACCCTCCGGATCGACTTCCTTTTCCTCCCCTCTCTCTGTCTCTCCACTTGAAATCCGCCGAGTATCATGGCGGTGACTTCTGTTTGCCGTGACCTTTTTTTCAGCGTCGTTGTGAAACTCTCTGCGGCAGATTTGGATATTTGAAATGCGCCAAAGTGCGCGGCCCCTTCTTGGTCATGCCATCGGAACCTTCCTTTCCCTTTCCCTTTCCCTCATCCGGCATCCTTGGCGCTCTTCCGCCGGCCTCCTCCTCCGCCCCCCTTCCTTTCTGGTCCCCTCGCTTTGGGCAGATGGCGTCGTATCTGTTTTCGCATTTTCCGCGCTCGCTTTCTGCACGTCTCCATCTGTTGCCGTTTCACCCCGCCTGACCTACCTGTCTGTCCGTCTGTCCGTCCTTGTGTGTGTGTGTGTGTGTGTGTGTGTGTGTGTGTGTGTGTGTGTGTGTGTGGGTGCGCGTGTGTGTGTGAGGGGGGCGACCGTGACCTTTTTTTCAGCGTCGTTGTGAAACTCTCTGCGGCAGATTTGGATATTTGAAATGCGCCAAAGTGCGCGGCCCCTTCTTGGTCATGCCATCGGAACCTTCCTTTCCCTTTCCCTTTCCCTCATCCGGCATCCTTGGCGCTCTTCCGCCGGCCTCCTCCTCCGCCCCCCTTCCTTTCTGGTCCCCTCGCTTTGGGCAGATGGCGTCGTATCTGTTTTCGCATTTTCCGCGCTCGCTTTCTGCACGTCTCCATCTGTCGCCGTTTCACCCCGCGTGACCTACCTGTCTGTCCGTCCTTATGTGTGTGTGTGTGGGCGCAGTGACGGAGAGGACGGGACACGCGCTGTCGGTGATGAAGGAGCTGAAGCTGGACGACTTTGATGGGTCAGTTCTCTCTGCTCTCGCACTTCTCAACCGCCACTTAGACTGACCCGCTCGAGACCCGAGACTTGACCCGGGCTCCTCTTTTGGGACATTACAAGTCAGGGGTGGGGGGGAGTATTTTGGAAACATCCACAAGCTGGCGCTACACGCGCAGACAAAACGAGTCACACGAGCATCCATTCCAAGCACAAAAAGGCTCCAACTCAAAAGCAACTCTCATGCTGAGTCCAAAGCCAAAGAGCCCAAACGATGAGTTTGAAGGCAGAGGTGAGCCAAAACAGCACAAGCCTTCACCAAATGGCAAACTCGGAGCAGCGGGCTCTGCCGCGGCGCCGCCGCCGGTTCTTATTTTAGCTTGGCGACGTGCCCATCCCGTGTCACGATCCGATACCTCGCCACGCTTTCGGAAGCAAAAGAAAAGAGCACCGGAGGGAGTGGCCAAGCGTGGAGTCGGGAAACGCTTTAGCCTTCCCTGGGCTTATCGCGCCGAGAGAAGCTTAGCTTTGTATTGGTGAGATACCCGATTAGTGCGTGTGTGTGTGTGTGCGTGTGTGAGCGTGTGTGTTGGAGAGAGAGAGAGGCAAGCTTGGGGAAAAACCCTCATTGACCAATTTGGAGCGCCAAACGTGATGCGGGAAATACGGCAGACGTGAGGGGGAAGGCCCAGTGCCAACCGGATGATCCCTTTCATGTTAGCACGCCAACGGCCATTTCCATTCATGTTAGCATGAAGCTAGCGCGGACATTTCCAAGGTTGATGTACGCTTGCGTTCAATACGCAAGGTGCCATGTTTTGGTTTGATGTCGAGTTGTTTGGGTATTTTTTTAATTTTTTTAGAGTAAACTTAAGCTGGGGAAAAAGCGCGAACCAGCTCAAAGTGGATTTTTTTTTTTTTTTCAACAGTTGCGTCCGTCTTCCACAGCGCCGCTTTGTATGAAGTGAGATGAGTTTGCGAGTCTGAGCAAACTCGTCGTCGGGACGGCGGCCGACACGCCGAGAGCGGAGGAACGTCGCCGGCGAAGCGCCTCCGTCCGAGCGGCCTTCGACTTGGCCGTCGGGTTTCGGGGCCTTCGGGCCGCGTCCGGCGTCTCCCACACGGGCCGCGTTGTGTTCTCAGGTCACGTGCAGCGAGTGGACATGTGCAGCTTGCGCTCCCCGGGCGGGCCGCCGCGCTTCGGCTTCTGCGCCATGTTCGGCTTCGGCGGCCGCAGCCTGGCCCGGGCCGAGAAGAAGCGCTGGATGCCGCCGGCGCGGCGCCGCGACTACGCGCTGCTCAAGACCCTGGCCCGCTTGAGGTCACGCAACGGCGGACGGCGCGCCCACGACGCCCGGCGGCCGTCTCAAAGTCTGCCGTCTTTGTGTTTCATTCATGCAGACCGGAGGACTGTCGGCTGTCTTTTCTCACGAGCCGCGCAAACGACCGGTGAGATACGCGCACGCGCGCACATACACACAAACAGGCGCGCAGTCTGCATCTCAAGCGTTGCACGTCTTTCCCAGGGACCGGGATGCCCATCAAGATGGAGACTCAGGTGACCGCCAAGACCAGGGCGTCTGAAATCATTTTGTCGCACGGGCGAAGGAACAAACCAACGTCAAAGTTGTACATTTGATCAAAGTGGTCTTCAAAAGTCTTGGGTGCGATCTCAGCGGCGCCGCCGCGAGATCTTTCGTCCAATCCGCTCGCTCCTAAATTGGCTTTTGCAAGGCCGACAGTCCGAGCCCGTCTGAAACACGATGAAAATTGTTTGTGCCCTTCAGAAAGTCTGACACGTCGTCTAAAACAAACAAACAAACAAAAAAGCTCCTCCATGTGGTGTATCGTCATATTCCATTTCAGAAAATGCCTCTTTGTTACATTGACACCGAATCAACGCGGTCTTCAAGGTATCGCTTGAAGAAAATTTCTGTTGCGTGGAAATGACCTCAGAGGCCTCAAAGCAATCCAAAGGGCCTTCGCCAAATGAGAAACGGAGCTGACGTTACGTTGCTCAAACTCCCGTCGGCTTCCTTCTCATTTGAGTCGGCGCGGGGTCTTTCGACCGGTGCGCCTGCGTGCGACGTCTTTTCAACGTTTCCACTTGGAACAAGTCGCACATTCCAAGAAAGACGTTTACCAAAGATGAAAGTCTTCGATTGGATCAAAGTGGCCTCCCAAAATACAAACGAGACGTCTCGTCCACAAGGTGAGTTCTCTTTGTGTGCGTGTGTGTGTGCACAGAGGGGACGGAGTCGTGGAGCAGCGCGGAGGGCCTGTTCCTGAGCGTCGGCGTGATGGCCATCCCTTGCCTGAGTCCTCACGCGCCCCGAGGGCTGGCCCCCGACACCAAGTAAGAGTCTCGTGCCCGCCCGCGTACTTGGCGGTCACGGCGGAATAGTCTGCAGGTTGGGATCGCAAGGTGAACGGCTACGGTAGCGGTTGCTAGGCGGGACGCAAGAGCATGTCCGAGTCCGCTTAAGAGACCTTTACAAGTCATGCGTTGGGGTTCAAGACCGAAATCGGTCCCGTCCGTGCTCAATTTGTGAGCGGGCACACGATTGCGCGGCTCTACCAAGATCACTCTGAGTGACAATTTCCATTTGGAGTGAGAAATGTCGATGTACAATGACAACAAAAATGTCAACGTCCCATTTGTACCGCGGGTGTTATTTTGAATTTCGTCACCTTCCGATGGGAGGCTGACTGCCAAGGTGCTCATCGTCCTTCCTGTCATGAAATGTCAAAGAAGTGTCTCGGCAGCCATGTGGCGTTCCCCAAGGCCCCTTCGTGGGACCCCTTTCCGATGGCTCAATGTTTGCAGATGACACGTCTGTATCTGTGTCAGCCAATCATGTGCCGCGCCTTCCCAAAAATGCTTCCGGGTCATTCAGTCGGATCGCCATCAACATGTTCATGTCTTGGATTCGACCTCAATGTGTGAACGTTGCCTCAAATAAGTCTTGGATCTGATCCAAGTTCATCCCGAACGTCCTTCAAAAGTTTCAAGTATCGTCCACATGGTCATAAAAAGGCTCGAATTTGGGTTCGGGCTTCGATTGTAAACGTAGTCTTGAAATGGCTTTATTTATTGGGATCAGGCGATTGAGAACCGATCCTCAGTTGCAGCGCCAACCGGGCCGCAGACAGTCCAATTAAACGAACAAAACGAGATGGAGTTTGATTGCGACTTGGTCAAGTGGTCTTTCAAAGTCTCATCTTTGGTTCAAGTGGTCTTGGGTGCGTCACAATGGCCGGCGCGGCCCGAGAACAGTCCGAAACCGGCGCGAAAGGTGACGACGTTTTGATCGAACGTGACACCAGTGGGAAGGCAACGGATACTTGATTGTTTTGAGCTATTCCAAAGTCGCAGCGCGAGGTTGAGTTTTCTGTCCAAGGACACCAGAAACGTGCGCAACCAAGTGGCCAATTTGACGCTGTGGAAGTGGCAGGAGAACAAGGTTGGAACCTGATCCAAAATCACATGCAATTGAAACACTCTGGGAAGTGTGACTGTGATTTAAAAAAAAAAAAAAACGATAAATGTCATCGAAATGCGGTTTTACAATGGACAATGAAACCAATCATTGAGTTCAACGTAACCGACTGACAAACGGCGTCTTCACTTTGCTCTCTGTTGGTCTCTGCGGCCGCCTGCTGGCGCATTAAGGAATTACAGCCGGCCAGGAAGTCAATGCAGCCAGTGAATGAGATTGTTTTTCCAAAGTAGACATTTGGGCTCATGCACATCGGCCGAATTTGACGCACAGGCCTTGAAGAATAAGTCACCAAGTGAACATTGACTCCAATCTACAAGTTGCTGGCCTTATGTATTGACAGATTTCGGTCGTCGAGGTGAATTTGCCACACGAGTTTGGTGTGTGTGTGTGTGTGTGTGTGCGCGTGTGTCCCCAGGTGGACTTGTCCTTTGTGGAGACGCGCGCCGTGACGGCGGTGAAGCTCCGCGCCCGAGGGTCGACCGGCCGCTCGGAGGACGGCGACGCCAGCTTCCCGTGGAACCTGGACGGAGAGCTGCTGGAGCTCCCCGACGAAGTGCTCATCGGGTAAGAACACAAAACTCGCTTCAAATGTCATCAAAGTGCGATTTTCAACT